GTTCTCTGTCAGTTTTCTCACTCCATTTGGTTCTTGGCTGTGTTCTTTATCTCTTCATTTGATGTTTTAGGGTTTCAGGATTGTTGTATTCTCTGTTCGGCTTAGTTTTTCAGATCTTCACTGTGGAGGGACGGCGTGGTGCTTCTGCCTAAAGCGCCATTTTGCCGGATGTCTCTGAATTTCTTATATTCTAAGGGTAGATAGAATGGAGGTCTTAGAAAACTTATTATTAAGACTCATAGTTGATCTTTTCAAACCAAAGTATGCAAAATATTTGGTTAACCTTCAGATAAAGATCTCCCACCTTCCTAAACTGGGGTACATGTTTGATTGATCTATAGGTTATTTGTTTTTATATCATTTGTCCTTAAATGATACCCTTATGTTGATAGCATCTTGAGCAGGATGTTCTGATATTATTGACCCTCTTGAAATAATATTAGCTAATATTTATTAAGAGCTTGTTCTGTGCCAGGCTAGGCCAGCTTCACAGGCATGTGACCTGTGCAGTCAGTCACACAGGGCCCCTTGCTTAGTTTAGTGTTCTTCTATCACTATCTTGAAAGTCTTAATAATTTTTTTAAAAAGGGGTCCCTCCTTTTCATTTTGCACTGGCCTCATAAATTATGTTAGGCAAGGAGGGTATATAATCTGATTTATACTTCTGAAAAATCATTCAGGGTTCTGGGTGTAAAATGGATTTTAGAGAAAGCAAGAGAGGAAGTAAGAAGACCAGGGAGGAAGTTATGACAATATTCAAGGTGGCTTTGAATATTGGTGGCAGTGGCAGTAGAAAGAAGTTATAGATTCAGGATGTATTTTGGAGGTAGTAAGCATGGAACTGGTAATGAATTGTCTGTGGGTATGCAGAAGAAGATGCTAAGAATGACTTCTGAATTTCTGACTTGAGTAACTACATGGTTGATGGAAGTGCCATTTACTATTTTAGAAAGGTTGGAGAAGGAATAGATTTGAGAGTATAGTTAAAAGCTAGGTTTGACATTAAACTAAGTGAAAGAAGCCAGCCAAAAAAAGACTACATATTTTTAGTTCCATTTTTATGAAATTTCTAGGCAAAACTATACAGAGAGAAAGTACATTAGTGGTTGCCTGAGGCTGGGGTTAAGAGCAAGGATTGACTGCAGACAGGCATGAGAGAATTTTTTGAGGTGATGAGAGTATTTTGAAACTGGTTTGTAGTGTTGGTTGCACAAATGAATAAATTTACTAAAAATTATTGGATCGTATGGGTGAATTGTATAGTATGTAAATTATAAAGCTGTTAAAAGTTTTTTAAAATATTAAGATGTGGTTTTGAGATGTCTGTGGTTATGTCAAGGAATACCATTATTATTCCCATTTTATATATAAGGAAAACAAAACTTAGGGAAATTTTTTTTTTAAGTTACGTAGATACTAGTATTGGAACTCAAGACTATTTGACAACGAGGCTTCACTCTTGATCACCGTATTACACTCACTTTGTATTTTAAAATTATATTATGTTTGCTGTATCTCATAGGTCAGAGGCTCTCTTGAAATTATAAAACAGAGAGGAAAGAATATAGAGACTGGAAAATCGTATCAATCCTATATACAGGTGCTTCCATTTCCCCTGGATATAGATGACACAGCTAGCTATGCCATCTTTGTTTTTTGTCCAGTGTGAGTCATATTACCATACCTTACTTGACTGTGGAAAACTATATTTACTCTTGGAGATCAATAGGCTAATAAACAGATTCAAAAACATGGAAGTAATGCTTTGAGACCTAGTTTTCGACAATGGATTCTTAGATATGACACCAAAAGCATGTTAAAATCAACATAATATAAAATAGATAAATTGGAGTTCATCAAATAAAAATGTTTGTACATCAAAGGATTTTATGAACCAAGTGAAGAGACAACCTACAGATTGGGAGAAAATATTTGGGAACCATATAGCTGTTAAAAGTTTAATATCCCAAAAATATAAAGAACTTCCACAACTCAAGGACAAAAAAAAGCCCAATTAAAAAACAAGCAAAGGACCCGAATAGACATTTCACCAAAGAAGATATGCAAATGGACAATAAGCACATAAAAAGATGCTCAATGTCATTCAAAAACAACCCCTTGTCACTGAGTTGATTCCAACTCATAGCAACCCTATAGGACAGAGTAGAACTGCCCCATAGGGTTTCCAAGGAGCGACTGGTGGATTCGAACTGCTGACCTTTTAGGGGAACGCAAATCAAAACCACAATAAGATACCACTTCACCCCTACTAGGATTGCTATTATTAAAAAAAAAAAAGGGGGGGAAATAACAAGTGTTGGAGAGGATGTGGAGAACTTGAAACCCTCATCCATTGCTGATGGGAATGTAAAATGCTGCAGCCGCTGTGGAAAACAGTATGATGATTCCTCCAGAAGTTAAACATAGAACTACCATATGACCTAGAAATTCCACTTCTAGGTATATACCCAACAGAACTGAAAACAGGGACTCAAAAAGATACTTTACACCAATGTTTATTGCAGCATTATTCACAATAGCCAAAAGGTGAAAATAACTCAAGTGTCCATCAACAGACGAATGGATAAACAAAATGTGGAATATACATACAATGGAATATTAAGCCATAAAGAAAAATGAAGTTCTGATATATGGTACAGGATGGATGAACTATGTAAACATTACATTGACTGAAATAGGTCAGACACAAAAGGGCAAATATTATATGATTCTACTTACATGAAATATCTAGAATAGGCAAATGCATAGAGACTAAAGTTTATCAGTGGTTACCAGGGGTGGCTTGGAAGGGAAAATGAGAAGTATTGCTTAAGGGGTACTGAGTTTCTTTTAAGAATGATGAAAAAATTTGGAAAGGGATAGTGGTGATGGTTGCACCACATGAGGAACATAAATAATGTCACTGAACTCTACAAATAAAAGTGATTGAAATGGCAAATGTTTTGTTAGATATATTTCACCACAATAAAAAAATTATTCTTAATCAACCATAAGAAAAAAAGAAGAAGAAAAGAAACCATTTCATTAGGCCCACGGTAGCTTGAAGGAGTGAATTATCTTCCAGCAATGCTTACTACTAAAGAGACTGGAGACATACAAATGAGTATGGGGCAGTTCTGCGCTGTCCGACTCAATGGCAACGGGTTTGGTGTGTTTTTTTTTTTTTTTGTTGTTGTTGTTGTTAGTGTATTTTATGACATCTATTTCATTAGCATTAATATTTGCTATATTAATAATTATTAACTATCTACTGTGCTAGGCACTGTGGATACCAAAAACAAAACAAAAGCTGTTGCCATCAATTCGATTCCGACTCATAGCGACCCTATAGGACAGAGTAGAACTGCCCCACAGGGTTTCCAAGGCTGTAAATCTTTACAGAAGGAGACTGCTACATCTCCTCCCATGGAGCAACTGGTAGGTTTGAACCACCCACCTTTCAGTTTGCAGCCGAGCACTTAACCAATGCACCACCAGGGCTCCTCATTGTGGATATAGGGGTCATCCAAACAGGCATGGTCCCTGCCTTTCTGGAGCTTTTATCTTTAGTGGGAAAGGCAGATGTTATGCTTAAACAAAAAATAGTTATAAAAACTTAAACTGTGATAAGTTCAATGACGGAGAATATAAGATGCTCTGGGAAAGCATAATAAAAGATCCTGGTTTCAACTGGGTCATAATGAAGACCACTGCTAGGAAATAACATTTAAACTGAGACTAATAAGATTTGTAGGAATTAGCAAAGCTAAGTAGAACTGCCCCAGCTGATCCCCAGCCCTTTCTCCCTCAGAGCTGCTGGTGAATTCAAACTGCCTCCGACCTTTTAGTTAGAAGCCCACCTCTTAACCACTGTGCCACCAGGGATCCTCTTGAAGCAAAGGGAAGGAGGGGAAAAGAAGCTTTCTTGGGAGAGGAACAGCCTACATGGAAGGCCCTGAGGCACAAAAGAGCTTGACTGAAGACGACATTGAAAGCCAGTGTAATACTGAGAGAGAGGGAGAGGGCATGAGAAAGAACCTCATATACCATGCAAAGGATTTGGTATTCTTTTTCAAGGGCAATGAGACTCTACTGTGAAGTTTTGAGCTGGGGAATGGTATGATCCAATTAACACTGTAAGACGATCACTTTGGCTGAATGTATCCAAGAGGGTTTTGCTGGCTTATGAAGCAGTCTTAAGAAAACTATGGGCCCTATTATTAATGGGAAAATTGCTTAAATTTTTAAGATAGTGTGCAAAAACAAGATTGTAAACTAAGTGATGGTGAATGGAAAAAATGACTGATAAATCAGTATGTCTCTGTATAACTCACTAGACCAGTGCTTCTCAAACTTCAATGTGCATTCAATTCACCAAGTGTTTTGTTAAAATACAGATTCTGGTTCAGTAGATATGGAGTAGGGCATGTCTGCATTTTTAACAAGCTCCCAGATGATGCCTATGCCACTGGTTCTTGGCTCACACTTCGAGTAGCAAGAAACTAGGCTATATTCTACATATAGAAATACATACATTATATATTCTAGAATATATAGAATATGTTCTTTATATCAGCTTTCTTGGCGGTCTGACCAATTGTCAAACTTGAACACTTAAAACTAATTTTAAGAGATTAGATTAATGAGGGCTTGTAGAGCCAAGTCACATGAGGCTTTTCATGTCTTCAGTAAATATTCTAAAAACACTTATTTCCTATTTACCCATCTAACCTGTCTGCCTACCAACCTGCCTATGTTCAAGGTACAGTTACACTTTAGAAAGCGCTATATGCAATCAAAAGGATATCCAAAACAAGTATGCAGAAATAGTATGAGGCTCTGAAATTTCATATCTAGTAGCTAATAGGGTGATTTGCATCATTGATTGAGGCTTACTCTCTAGTAGGCACTTTACCTGCCTTATTCATTTAATAAGATAGGAGCCCCAGGGACCTAAGAAGTTAGTTTCTTATCCAAGGACATACAACTCAGCTCTGGTTTATTTCATAGCTGACTCTCTTATTCATTATGCTAACATTGCTATTTTGTTTGGTGACTATGATCTGAAATGCAGAAGACTGAGGCTTTTAATCTATGGCTAAAGGCTTTGTATTCCTCTAAAGACTTCATGCAGCTTTGCTATCATTATCATTTTATAAAGCTCCTAGGTGGTAAACAGGCCTGACTTTTTCATTTTTTGGTTAACCTTTATTAGCAGTGCAACTTCTCCTTGTGGCATAACAATCCAGGATCTTGGGAAAAGGATTAATCAAGAAGGGAAAATATTTGAAATGATGCTGTAAGATTGAGATGATGCTCTTTGGGAAAGTCAGTAGGAAAATTTCACCTTACCCTCTGGTTCTTAAAAAATGAGAGCTAGACAACAACATCCGGTTTTCAGAGAAATTAAATCTGAATTATGTATTTAATTTCATAAGAAGGAGTTAAACCAAACAGTAGCTCCTGTTGATTTGCTCTACCAAGGAAGTGACAGGAATTTCTACAGCCTCATTTTGTAAAAGACAAACTGAAATTATAAACATCTCGACAGAAATGCTAAATGCCTCCTTTCATGTAGGATCTGGCTAGTTAGATTTTACCCAGTCTTCCAACAACTCAGAATTGTTGGCGTTTTTCCAGACAACGTTGTGTCGTTTTCGGTTTGGTTTGATCCTCCTTCTTTCGATTAAAGAAAGCGATTAAAGTGTTTAATAAGCCTTGGATTGACTTGGAGACTCGCAGAGCGGCCAGTTTCATTGCCCTGCAGTTGGCTTTCCACGTTAAGGTGAAATTCCGATGTACGGATACTGTGGTCGAAAACTCTGGAGGGAAGCCAAAAGAAAGCGAAGTTCCTGGTGCTAGCGCGAGTCCCGCTCAGAGAGCCGGCGCTAGCGCATTCTTTGTGCAATTATTGGCTGGAACTGTGTGTGCCGCTGTCGTCCAATGAAGACTCTGGAGATCTGGCCCCGGCCAGTCCCCCTTTCGGCGCCCCGGGATGAGGCAGAGACTGAACAGCCGGCGAGCAAATCAGCGGCATCCAGAAAGCCATGTCCGACTCGGCGCCCAGCGCCCAAGCGCTAACCCGCTGAAAGTTTCTCCGCGAAATAGCCGGGACAATCTGGACCCCGCTGAGAGGAACTGCTTTTGTGTGAGATGGTCCCAGAGGCCTGGAGGAGCGGACTGGTAAGCACCGGGAGAGTGGTGGGAGTTTTGCTTCTGCTTGGTGTCTTGCACAAGGCGTTCGCCGTCATTCGCTATGAGATCTTGGAAGAAAGAGAGAAGGGTTTCGCAGTGGGCAACGTGGTCGCGGACCTGGGCTTGGATCTCGGCAGCCTGTCAGCCCGCAGGCTCCGGGTGGTGCCACGAGCTAGCCGAAAATTCTTTGAGGTGAACTGGGAGACCGGAGAGATGTTCGTGAATGACCGCCTGGATCGGGAGGAGCTGTGTGGGACACTGCCCTCCTGCACTGTAACTCTGGAGTTGATAGTAGAGAGACCGCTGGAGTTGTTCAGGGCGGAAGTGGTGATCCAGGACATCAACGACAACAATCCCTCTTTCCCTACCCGGGAAATGAAATTGGAGATTAGCGAGGCTGTGGCGCCGGGGACGCGCTTTCCTCTGGAGAGCGCGCACGATCCCGACGTGGGAAGCAACTCTTTACAAACCTATGAGCTGAGCCGAAATGAGTACTTTGCGCTCCGTGTGCAGACACGGGAGGACAACACAAAGTACGCGGAGCTAGCGCTGGAGCGCGCCCTAGACCGGGAGCGAGAACCAAGTATCCAGTTGGTGCTGACGGCTTTGGACGGAGGAACCCCAGCTCGCTCTGCTAGCCTTCCCATTCGCATCACTGTGCTGGACGCGAATGACAATGCCCCCGCCTTCAACCAGTCCTTGTACCGGGCGCGGGTACCGGAGGATGCACACCCCGGCACTCTCGTGGTGCAAGTTCGTGCAACGGATCTGGATGAAGGCCCCAACGGAGACATTATTTACTCTTTCGGCAGCCACAACCGTGCCGGCGTGCAGGAACTATTTGCCTTAGACCTTGTAACAGGGATGCTGACAATCAAGGGCCAACTGGACTTTGAAGACACGAAACTCCACGAGATTTACATCCAGGCCAAAGACAAAGGCGCCAATCCCGAAGGAGCACATTGCAAAGTTTTGGTAGAGGTTGTGGACGTGAACGACAATGCCCCGGAGATCACAGTCACCTCCGTGTACAGTCCAGTCCCCGAGGATGCCCCTCTAGGGACTGTCATCGCTTTGCTCAGTGTGACCGATCTGGATACTGGGGAGAACGGGTTGGTGACTTGCGAGGTTCCACCAGATCTCCCGTTCAGCCTTACTTCTTCCCTCCAGAATTACTTCACTTTGAAAACGAGCGCAGCCCTGGATCGGGAGACCATGCCAGAATACAACCTCAGCATCACTGCTAGAGACGCGGGAGCCCCTTCCCTGTCAGCCCTTACGACAGTGCGGGTCCAAGTATCCGACATCAACGACAATCCTCCACAATCTTCCCAATCTTGCTACGACGTTTACGTTGAGGAAGATAACCTCCCTGGGGTTCCCATACTAAACCTAAGTGTTTGGGACCCCGACGCCCCACAGAATGCTCGCCTTTCCTTCTTTCTCCTGGAGCAAGGAGCTGAAACCGGGCTCGTGGGTCGCTATTTCACGATAAATCGTGAGAGTGGTGTCGTGTCATCCTTGGTGCCCCTAGACTACGAGGATCGACGGGAGTTCAAATTAATAGCTCATATCAGCGATGGTGGCACCCCAATCCTGACCACCAACATCAGCGTGAACATATTTGTCACTGACCGCAATGACAATGCCCCCCAAGTCCTATGCCCCTGGCCAGGAGGGAGCTCAGTGGTAATGCTGCCTCGAGGTACCGCTGTGGGCCACATAGTCACACGCGTGGTAGGCTGGGATGCAGATGCAGGGCACAATGCCTGGCTTTCCTACAGCCTCTTGGGTGCCCCCAACCAGAGCCTTTTTGCTGTGGTGCTTCACACAGGCCAAATCAGCACTGCCCGCCCAGTCCAGGACACAGATTTGCCCAGGCAGACTCTAACAGTCTTGATCACAGACAATGGGGAGCCATCGCTGTCCACCACTGCGACACTGACTGTGTCAATAACAGAGGACTCTCCAGAGGCTCAGACCGAGTTCTCCTCTGGCTCTGACCCCCGGGAGCAGAATAAAAACCTCACCTTTTATCTACTTCTTGCTCTAATCCTGGTCTCCGTGGGGTTCGCAGTCACGGTCCTGGGAGTCATCATATTCAAAGTTTACAAGTGGAAGCAGTCCAGGGACCTATACCGAGGCCCGGTGAGCTCCCTGTACAGAACACCAGGGCCCTCCATGCACGCGGACGCCGTTCGGGGAGGCCTGATACCGCCGCACCTCTACCATCAGGTGTACCTCACCACGGACTCGCGCCGCAGTGACCCCCTGCTAAAGAAACCTAATGCCTCCAGCCCACTGGCCAGCCGCCAGAACACGCTGCGGAGCTGCGATCCTGTATTCTATAGGCAGGTGTTGGGTGCAGAGAGCGCCCCTCCCGGACAGGTAAGGGTTGGCAAGTCAGCCCTGAATGACATTAATGCTTTTTGATGACTGCACCATGTTCAGGAAGGTATGGGTAGCTTTTATTTTATTTTATTTTTTTAATTGTGCTTTAGGTGAAAGTTTACAGCTCAAGTTAATTTCTCATACAAAAGTTTATACACGTATTGTTATGTGACATTAGTTGCAATCCCTACAATGTGACAGCACACTCCTCCTTTCCACCCTGGATCTCCTGTGTCCATTCAACCAGTTTCTGTCCCCACCTGCCTTCTCATCCTGCCTCCAGGCAGAAGTCGCCCATTTGGTCACGTGTATCTGATTCAACTAAGAGCACACTCCCCATGAGTATTATTTTTTTGTTTTACAGTCCAATTTAATCTTTGTCTGAAGAGTGGGTTTTGGGAATGGTTTTAGTTCTGGGTTAACGGAGCATCTGGAGGCCATAGTTTTGGGGGTTTCACCAGTTTCTGTCAGACTTTTAAGCCTAGTCTTTTTATGTGAATTTGAGTTCTGCTCCGCCCTTTTCTCCTGCTGCGTCCGGGACTCTCTGTTGTGTTCCCTGTCAGGGTAGTCATTGGTGGTAGCCAGGCCCCTCCTAGTTCTGGTCTCAGGGTAATGGAGTCTCTTGTTTATATGGACCTTTTATCTCTTGGGCTAATATTTTCCTTGTGTCTTTGGTGGTCTTCACTCTCCTTTACTCCAAGTGGGTTGGGACAAATTGATGCATCTTAGATGGCCACTCAGAAGCTTTTAAGACCCCAGATGTGGGGCTGCTTTTTTAATGGTGATGTTTCTGTGATGATGCAACCACACTTTCACCTGGTCCTCCCTAAATCAAATTTCTCCTTTATGAGGAGGATGGCCTGGCTAGAGTGTGAGCTTTGGTCTCATTTCAGGTTGGAGTAAGTTCACTCATCTATGGACCCAATTCTACCCTCAGCACTCACCATCAAAACTAACCAATCTTGCTAAGGGACTATTAAGCTATAACCCAAGATCTCAGCACTTAGAGATTAACCAGGTGTCATTTGCATTGGGAACAAACTACTGGATACCTCTAACCAGTGGCAGCTGCTAGGAATAGACAAACTACCTCATTCATCCATCTTTTAAATGATTGGTACATCTGCATTAAAGAATAATAGTTTGCTTATAATTTTTCCTTTACCTACACAGATCCCGTACCTCATCCTCAGATAATTTTCTATGAAAGAAATAAATTCTAGGCATCTTTTAAATTTTATTTCAAGCACACTGCTAGAAATTATATGCACATTATTTACAAAATATTTTTATGTGACGACAGTAATGCATGTGCATCATAGAAAAACTTGGAAAATACAGAAAAGTCTAAAGAAAAAAATTAAGATTACCTGTAATCTCCAAACCCAAAGATAGCCATTGTTAATTATAAAACTTTATTTTGAAAATAAATCCAGACAATCCAAAAGAACATAAAGTACAAAATGAAAGTCCTTTTGTACCCCAGTGTCACTCCCTATCCTCCCGGCATTATTTCTCTAAGTATACACATAATGTGAGCAGCAGGTAAATTCATATCCTTAGAATAGTGAAGCTTTCATTCATTCAGGATGATGTGCAGGTGACTGCAAGGCCTTTGCCTAGGAGATAAACTTATGCACACCTACAGTCATGAAAGAACCATGATCATGTTGTTGCTGATGGGAAATGCTATTTGGATCAACATTTGGATTCTGCAGTTAGGCAAATGAGGCTCCACCAGTTCTCAACTGTAAGTCCTTGGCCAAGTTACTTAATCTTTCTAAGCCTGTTTGTCATATGCAAAAAGGGAATATGTGTTCAATAAATATTAGGTATTACTATTATTATTTTTATTAGTTCTTCATCCATCCAAAATCTTAAACACACCTTGTAAATTAGCAAATCTGAGGACAGCCAAAGATGACCACGTACAAAAGCCGGAGGGATGCAGTTGCTACTCTTCTGGTCAGCCTGGAAAATAACTGTCATTTTCCCTAGAACAACGTTCTCAAACTTGATTGTGCATTAGAATCACCTAGGGATCTTTTAAAAATTCTGATGCCATGGCCACATCCTAGACCAATTAAAGCACAATCTCTAGGGGTGGGACACAGACACCAGTAACTTCTGAAGATCCTCCAGATGATTCCACTGTGCAGACAAGTGTGAAAATCACTGCCCTAGAACCTGCCAATCTATCGATTACCATATTTATGAAGCAAAGTGTTATTCTGGTGTTCATAGAACCAAGAGTCAGCTTTATTGAACCGGGCCCAGTTTAAAGAATAATGTCATTTCCCAACCTTAAAGTGTTACATAGAATACCTCTAGAAGAGCATTGTAAGGAAGACATAAGACAGTATTTCAATCATTCAAAGAAAAAAACTTCCTTAAACCACCAGCACCTGGGCAACTGTGTAATGGGTATGGAGTTTCTTTTTGGGGTGACAAGAATGTTCTATAATTACATTTTGGTGATGGTTGCACGACTCTGTGAATATACTTAAAAAAAAAACAACAACATTGAAATGTATACTTTAAATGGGTGGATTATATTAGTATGTGAATTATATTCCAATAAAACTGTTTTTAAAAGTCTAGATATGAGAGAATCACATACAGGGCATAAAAAGGTCAAGTCTAGGATATATAGGATTAAGACTTTATGATGGTCAGATTCTAGTAAAACAGCCTGTGTGCCTGTTCGTTTTGGTATGAACTTGCAAATATAAGGGATTGGGACCTGTAAGAGGTCCAGTCCTTGGATATTAAAGACATCAGTATAGGGTCAGTTTGTGGTTATGGGAATGACAAACTGGTAGAAAAATCATTTAAGATGTTATAGAAAAAGGCTTTATTTATTGCCAGACTGGGAACAGGGGGACTAATACTGCACATACTAATTGTTTGGTTTTAGACAAGTCATTTAACCTCTCCAAATTCCAGTTTCCTCATCTATAAAATAAAGGTAATACCAACTTTCCAAAGTTGTTGACAGAATGAAACATAATGTATATAAAATGCCTTTACATAGTATTGAGTACATGTTTGTTGAACTAATAAATGATAATATCAATGGTTCACCATTTATTGATCACCCTTATGTGCCAGACACTGTGCTAGGCACTTATGAAATATTAAATAATACCATCCCTGCCATCATACTACATAGTGTACCATGGGAGACAGACGTGCCAAAAAGAAATGATAATAGAGGTCTGCAAATACAAAAAGCAAAGGAAACAAAGAAGAAGAAACACCTAAGTCAGACTGGGGAACTCAAGGAAGACTTTACAGAGGATGAGGCTTGAGCTCTTCACTAAAGGTTGAGTAGCAGTTTGTCAAATAGTAAAGGGGGAAATGGGGCAGGAAGAGGACATTGCAGGAAATTCCATGTAGAGGAAGCATGGTATTTTATTGTTGCTGAGCCTTAAAGTGGGCGTGTCTGCTGGAGGTGAGGTGAAGCAAGGAGGCAGGAGTTAGATCATGAATAACTTTAGGCCATTCTAAGGAGTTTTTATTTTATTCTGTATAGTCACGGCAGAATTTTGAACTGATATACATATGCTGTCATCAGTTTTGTGTGTGTCTGTGTGTTAGAGAGATTACTCTGGCAGCCATAAGTTAAATGGATTGGGGATATAGGGACTGGAAGCAAAGAGAGCAGTTAGAAGGTTATTGCAATATTTGAAGAGAAGATTGATAAATGCTTGAGCCAGCACAGTGGCGGTGTGAATGGAGGGAGATGACTACAGTAAAATCATCAGGACTTGTTGATTGACATAATATATTGAGGGAGAGGAATGAGTCAAGGATGATGCTGCCATTCACTGAGACAATGGATCCTGGCATAATAGCCTGGTCAGTCAGGCTGACTTATACCTCCGTCATTTCAATGGAAGTAGGGTTAGGGTTTTTTTGCACCTTTGAGACCAGAATGTTGGTTGCTGGCCTCACCATAGCCAAAAGGATATGCCTGAGGATCAAGGGTTTGGAAAAAATCTGGGGAGGATAGAACCCCAGGTTTTGCTGCTGGTTTTCGACAGCCAGTGGTAACCTAGGCGAGGATTTGGATGAATTCAGAAATCTCATGTCCAGATCAAGCTGGATTTTTCTCATTTTCTGTGCTCTGGTGTATTTGCCACTCATATTACAATTTACAGGTACCTACAGTGTGAAATGAACTGTGTTTCTGCGCTTGTGCAAGGTAGTAGCCAGGCTCCTGGGAGAGTCTGAATGGGAGTGGGGGTGGGGTAAAATCAAGACTTCATTCCAAAAGGTCCCCTGGGGCTAAGTGAAAAGCTTACTCTTTTAAAAAGGTCTCTGTTGGTAATTAACAACACATAAAGGGTGCTGTGGTGTCAAATAACGGGATTTGTAGGCACAATGCTGTTGGTTGCTGATCCCAGTCATTCATGGAAGCTGTTAAATCTGTGAATATTAGCATTCTGCCAAGTATTGAGATCCAATCTTTAGCGCCTTCCAGACGCACTGATTCTTTACTGATTTGGAACATCTCCCTCTCCTGGCTTCCTCTACCCCACTCTATCCCCTTCTATACTGTCTTTGAAATCAAAGAATGGCATTTTAAAGTATCACTAGCAAGTGTCTGAATAAGAGAGATTGGTTTCCAATGCGCCTCCTGTTACAATAAAAATGTGCACTGCATAAATTGAATTGGCTACATTAATGTATAAACCTTTCCTGCAAAGAGAGGGATACGTTTCTGAATATACTGCAGAGAGGCAGTTTTGAGTATATGGCAGTGCTTCTCATTAGCTGTTGCTGTAATACAGTCAGACTGAGACAGAAGCTGCTCATTTAGATTATTGGTTGATGACAACACCAGCTTGAATAAAGTGACCAGTCTCAAATGGCTACTCGCTCTCTGGGCTGCAGGTTGCTAGGGCTCAGCTGTTTTCCCAACCAAAAAGGGGCGGGGGAAGTTGGCCTGTTAGAAAAAAAAAAAAAAAAAAAAAAACATATATGTTGTCTGC